CTCAGGATGTCCTTATCTTACCGTCATTTTCAAACTCATCCTGAAGTTTCTTTATAACTTGCGTTAAATCTTCAAGTTGCTTTTTGAAATCTTCCCTGTTGTTCAAGTCCTCTGCCGGCGTTCTTTGTAATGCCTTAGTATTAACATTGCCTGAAAGTTAAAACGCCACACTATTTTACTACATTAAAGATTGAGATTGGACGCAGACAATAATTTACAAATTTCATGGCTGTTTGCAAGGTGTTGCTTATTTCGACAAGGCAAGTCATTGCTTTCTATCCATTTCGCACAAAAAAACGAAATGACGAAACATTATCCCTGTCCGGACTTTCCTCTGTTTTACTTAAAATCTCCACAAATCAAATTACCGAGTTCCACATCATTTACGAAAATCAGGATACGAAAAAATCGTAATTGCATGTCAAAACATTGACAAAATTTTGCGAAAAAGCAATTCTCGATACCCAAATTTAAAGGCAAATTTTGAAATATCTCGCTGATTTGAAAGTTTTTTTTGTTAGCTGTATTGAAATCTAAAATAATGTGAGCTTTGGTATTTTTTTTTTGGGATGCTTATTACTTATGTTTTCGTGTAGTTATTTCCTCCTAACTGCAACGTAAAAAAAAAACAAACAAAAAAACATACAATCAACCGTGTGTTTGCATGCATGCACGAAGTTTCGGGCTCTTGGGACTCAATTACCTGTTTTTTCTTCATTCTTGCTCACACTTTGCTGAGGAAAAGCACATTTGAAATCTTCCTAACAGTGTTCAATTCCAAATATTACTCCTTGCCCGAAGTGGGTTTTGTAAATGTACAGTCAAGAGATATGGTCGAGTCCAAGAGGATATCAATTGATATTCTCTCGCCGAGTCAGGATATATCTTCATTTAACCTATACCTTTTTTTAATATTATATGATATTGCCCGTTGATCCTTACCTATGCATAACGCCAGAAGCAGCCAAAAAGGGATAAGATGCTCAAAGAACTGAGTCATCCTCTGGGTACTTAAAATCTATTAAAACAACAAACACAAAAATATTAATCTCGACCCTACAAATTCACTAGGAATTACGCTCCGACCCTTCTTGTTTCATTGGTTTTTCCCAACCCAAAGGCAAATCTAAATGAGTGTTACTTCTTTAAGGCAAGTTAGCAAACCCTGACGCAATGTGTATCCTAGCATTGCTCCTTTAGTCGAATAACGTTTTCAGTCGTCTACCCAGGAAAACTCGTTTCCGGTACTGTAGAGATATTTTCTATTCAAAGGAAATATTCTAATCGCCGATTATACTATAACAGCTTTAGTATTGAATTAGTTAGCGTGTGCACTAGGTTAAAAATTGTTCTGTTCTGCAAAATATCTTGACAAATTTTGTTTCCACCAAATTTTGAATTTGGCAATCGCGTACACACCTGAAAACACCCGTATATTTTTAAAATAACCACATGGTGTCAATCACGTTGAGATGAAAATTTTCCTCTAGGTTCCGTTTGCAGGAAAATGTATGTTTATCGCAGCTCGAACGCCGCGTTGCAATAAACAAAACTGGCGTAGTGCGTTCGGGCCCTTATTCAGCTCATATGCAATTTGGGCAGAAGAAACAAATTTTATCTTTGACGGAGAACAACGAGTGTCAGTGGACATGCACTCTCATGAATAAACATGCAGAGCTTCAAATTATGTTCGAAAGCACAACAGTCCTCATTCCATTGTAAGATGGATTAAAGAGTCGGGAAGAATTCAGTAGGGGAGGGAAATTTACTACACTGAAAAGAAAGAAACAACGCTTAAGGCCTTACTCATTCTCATTTTAGATATTTGTGACCAACATCTTGCTTGAAAGAAATTTCCAAAGAAAATTAATCGTACCGAGGTCGGTCGAAGGCATCCCAAAATATCACCAGACTTACCTTAATCAATTGAATGTAATTACTTTAAAATTTGCATTGCATTTGAATTTTTTTGTTAAGAACTTCGATGCACATGTTTAGTTTTCAATCGAAAGGTTTTGGTAAAGCGTTTCCTTCAACGAAGAATGTGAACGCGCGACCTGATGTGAGACACATTTTGAAAAATTTTCCGGCCACCGATGGTTTACGTAGATTTGAGAGCAGATGGGACAACGTTTCTCTCGATCGATCTGAAATGCAACTCAAATTGATGTAATCATATGCGAAACGAAAGTGTATGTGATCGAAGACGCGCCAAAACTCCCTTCATTTATGGACAACTGTGAATTTTCGTCTTTTTACATTGCCCTTTCAAACAGCAGTAACAAAACCAACAGACTGATTATCAGTTGTGGAAGATTCCGAAATCCTTCGCGCTCAATCAGAGCGTCTCAAAATGAAAATAACCAATGTACTAGTTGATTGAACCAATATACAACTCGAATTAACATAACTAAATTCGACAGAGAAGTGAACATGTTTTAGGCCACGCCAAGACCCCATCATATATGGACAATTCTTGGCTTTTCTTTTCTTTTCATGACCCTTTCAAACAGCAGTAACAAAACCAACTGATCATGAATCGATATCAGTGGTGGAAGATGCCAGCGTCCTTTGTGACTATTCAAAGCGTCTCAAAGTAACTTAGCTACACTGGATTTTCACACGCAAACTTTTCACTTTCCGACTCATTTTAACTTTGCAATGGAAGTTACGAAGAACACAATATTTTCGCTCAAGAACATTTTTTTTTCAATTTTGTCATCCTACAATTGTACTTTGCACGAAAATCTGTGATCAGTTCTTCCCTCTAGATTTTGTCTTTCCTGGCGAAAAGAGGGCGAATCAGAATTTTTCTTTGTCCCAAGTAAGTGACAAGAGGAAAGAACACCTTTCTCTAAAAAGATGGATATGTTATGATAATCGAATGCAGTAACTTACCACCAAGTCACTAAAACTGAACACGCGCACGATGGAAATGCTCCACAATTTTAGATCTTTGCTAAATTGAGATTAAAAATTAAGATATCTCTTTATTCTGCTTACTGCTTTCCCAAGGGGAAATAAAGCTCTCAGGAATAATTGCGAGTATTGAATGAAAGGCAATCGATCAACAGCACAATGGTCATTTCTAAGCCACCAACTATTGTAATGAGCTTAGTGCAAAAGATTCTGCAAGAATTAATGGTTATATTGAGTTAGTCAAATATTTTTTTGCATGAGGTTGACAAACGCCATAGACAAATTCTCATACGAGGGCCGTAAGTGATGACGCGAACAGGGTCAGGAAAAGAAAAGGGGATCCCATGGGAGACCCGCTTAACGAAGAAAGAAAATGTAAGTAGTGGAGAGGTAAAATGAAAAGGTGCTTAAGGACTGATAATATAGGTCGGGCCGGACGGGAAAATATTTGGCTCTCGGTCATGATGTACTGACGTTATTACGCCCGATCTGTAGTTCTTGATCTCCGCAAGTACGAGCATGCACATATTTAAGTACATAATATGTTACACTGCAAAGCCTGCATACAATGAAAATGTTAACAAAAATTTATTGTTAGTAGCTATCCAAACGATATGAAAGAAAATATAGAATTCTAATCGCTTGTTTACTTTTCAGTTGCTCGAGTGAGCGTCTTTCGGCAAGAATACGTTTAAGAGTCATTTCCTCCTCAGGTGATACAAGCAATCTCAAAAAGAGACATTGACGAATAATTGCTTTTATGTTTTAAACTGAGTCAGACAAAGAGAATTTTTAAAATGCCCGCATATTATAGCATCTAAATTCGATTTAGCCTTTGCTAGAGAAGAAGAACTCATTCTCGTCGCGACAATTTATGTCTTGAATCTGCACGTTTACTAGTACTTTCAATGTTACGGGAGACCATTGCGATGAAATGGTGTGGAGACGCTGCGAACTTTCCAGAAAAACTGACAGAATAGGAGAGGGGTGGGGGGGGGGGAAGGGGGCGGGTCTGCGTCGACCCGAGCATCCCATCCAAGGGGAATCAGTAATTATGCTACAAAAACCGGGATAAACTACGGCTGTTAGGGCAACTGCACCGGTTTGAGTACAGTCTTAACCTAGTCTTGTACCCAGACCTTCAACGACCAAGCGGTTGTAAGGTCCTACACTTCAGAGACAGTTACACGGCAGGATCTGGGTACTAGATTAGCCTTATCTTTTTTTGTATGAGACACTCAATGGTTGGTCGAAAGGAGAGTGTTTGCGCCCTATTATGGTCTTGAAGAAAGCTTTCTCCTTTAGTTTCTTTTGTGTTTCACTCAGCCTACGAGCTCTCAAAGTTGTGAAAGACTTACAATCAAATCGCGAAAATTTCTAGCGAAGTGTAAAGGTGTTTTCTTTTTTAAAAGAGGGTTAAGCATGATGATGTTACATCCATTGATGTAACCGCTCGCAGTATAATTAGCGTTATAACAACAACAGTTTTTTTTATTATTATTATTATCTCTAGGGGTATTATGGTAGGCAAGCCCGTCATTGTTTTTCTTTAACAACCAATAGTCGAGAACCAATTAATTATTTCATTTTCTCGTCAACGTTACTCAAACGTTTCCCAAAAGAAACAGATAACATCCAAAATAATGATTACAATTTCAACAAGCACATGCTAATCTCAGGTAATACGTCGGTTTCGCTGCAATTTTCCTTCGATACAAGCCTCTCTGAACCTCTTCCCGTCCAGAAAGCTCGCAAAAGGAGTGTCTTTCATAGATAAAGACCGAAGCCCAGAGAGCACTTCATGGTAAGGAGAGGCTGTGACATAAATTTAAAAATGATTAGATTTTCTTTTTTCTAATCGTCTGGCTCCCATATGGTCTAGCGGTTAGGATTCCTGGCTTTCACCCAGGCGGCCCGGGTTCGACTCCCGGTATGGGAAAGATGACTCTTCTTTTATTTCCTTCTTCGTGTTGTTCACCGTCTATGTGTTCGAAGAATTTTTCCATATCATTTTGTCGTATTAAGACACTAACGCGTTATTGACCCCGCGGGGCAATGTGATGTCTAAACATGGGGGTGTAAACGTTATTCACACATACAGTTTAGAGGGTCATGTAAGTGATTCAATCTTGTAGACCAAAGTACGGCCAGGGCTGAAACTACATATCTAGTAGAAGATAAAATTTGTTTGTTCGTAGTGACCCCTGATGTAAAAAAAGGGAAAAAATATTCTAATCTGTAACATTTTAGATATCAAACAGAGGCCTATCACGCTCACAAATCGATAACTGATGGCAACATTGCTGATGCACTAAAATTCCGGTCACTGTTTGATGTCATAGCTGTCACTATCGATGGCACTGGTGATAACCAATGGTGATGCCGGTGCCATAATTGTTAGCGTTGAAGTTGCGAGCAATTTCACAACATCACTGCTGCCAATTTCGATGCCACTGCGATCAGTTGTATTATTTTCAACGCCGGCGCACGAAACATCAATAAAATTGGTATCATTTCTTATGCCGTTTGCATTATCGTTCAATGCACTACCACGAATCTGGAATCAGTTGCATTATTGTCGACGCTGGTACATGGAATTTTGATATTACTGGTATCATTTCTAATGCCGTTTGCACTATTATCCATTACACTTCCGTTATTTTCATTGCCTTCGCCATCATTGATTGCTGATTGAGTGCCGATTTCCCCACTACCTGTGTCAATAACATTGCAATTGCTGACATCGCTGTTAAAGCCATTGCAAGAAATACGACTTTCATTAGTATCATTACCGGTACCGTCGCCTTCATTTTCAGTTTGGCTATTGCCATGATTATTTCCGATGCTGTTACCATTTTGGGTGCAATCATTCTCAACGTCATTGCCGTCATTGTGGAGACCAATACCAAGACTGTTGATGTCACTGCCATCATACTCAGTGTCATTAGCATAATTTTCAGTGTTGCTTACATTATCTTCAGAGTTATTGTATGTAATATCAATGCCACTGGCATCAATGCCGATGCCAGTTCCGTAATTGTCAATGCCATTGTCATTGCGAGTAATTGGGAAGCTGTTATCAGTTGCATATCCTCTGTCATTGCCTGGATATGGTGGGGGAGGTTCCCCAATGTATGACAAATATGATGTTTCAATATGCACCTGTAGCGGCGCGGTGCGTCCTGGGAAAGTGGTCGAAACGAATCCTGGGTAGTGTTCGCGAGATGCTCTGGCAGAGTGTTGCATGCTGGGTATGTTAACTGTCATTGCTGTTGTATGCTCTTGCCGCTGGCCGCCAAAAATATATTTTCGATCTTTGCAGCACAAGACTAAGAAGATCAGCCCACCAACGACGAAAACCGCGAGAAAAAAGAAGCCAATGAATGAACTGGCGTTGAACGCTGAAAATTGAAGAACAGAGTGTCAACTTGAAATTTTTGATAAATCTAATAAGTATTAAGATCTTCATCTGTCTTAAGTAGTCAGCCAGCAACGAAAAGAAAGAAATTAACATCTTGCTGAAGTTTTGTATGTTATATACTCTCATTTCAAAAATTAATTGATGTCATCAGTTGCGATAAAAATATATAACATTTTCGTACTCCTTGTTCATCTGTCTGTCCGTCTTTTTGTCTGTCTGTCTTTCTGTGTGTCTGTGTGTCGGTGTGTCTGTCTGTCTGTCCTTCTTTCTGTTTGTCTTTCTGTCTGTCTATCCGTCTTTACTTGTCTCACTCATGTCTGCGAGAGATATGTCCTAAACTTTTTTTATCGTTGTCTCGTTTTGGTTTGGTCTTGATCTAAGCGTCATATATAATTGCATAAAAAATTGAACCAGGTAAAGAAAACCTTGAGCTGAAAATCTTTTTTTACACTGTGGCTAAATTACCTTCCACCTTCTGAAGGAGAGACAGCAAGACTGTGAAGGAAAGCATATAAAGCATAAACTACAATATCTTCTTAAGTTCTGATACAAATATTGTTATGATCTTCACTTAGTCGAATGACAATAATTTTTTTCTGAATATAAACTGCATTATTTTCATTTAAGAGTTTATTATTTCTTTACGTTTATGAATACTGAGCTAACTCATCTTCCTTGCTAAAGTAGAGATTTTAAACGTAAATATCGTGGTATCAGACAGATCTTTTCCTGCGAAAAAGATAGGATCCAGACGTTTTAAACGGTCATCACATGCCTCCGTTTCCCCATTATCCCTCAATGAAGCAACTGTGATTGAAAGTGGAAAGTAATAACTTGCGACGGATGGATGTGTGGAAGGAAAAAGATAATTGCTTAAAACAACCGAACGATCCAGCTTGCCTTTACATGAATACTTTCATGATTTCAAGCAAACGTAGATCTCACTTACCTATAAAGACATAAAAACAGGTCTTCATTTTTCAAACAATAACTAAATTTTCCTTTTAAAATATACTAACAGAAAAAAGTTTCTGTGTTACTCCCCACTGAAGTTTCTTAGGAATTTATCCAATAATAATGAAAATACAGAAAACCGAATTAATTACCCGAATGTTAGGCAACTGCTGTGCTATTAACTGCTTTGTTTTGGTGTTTTTATCACAAAGTTTAAATTACCTTGGACACGGATTGGGCAGAAGTCCCCAATAACACCGTTACACTCATTTGCTGGCCACACACATGAATTATTAAGTGCGATTTGTTGTTTCCAATTCAAAACAAAAGTGAACCATTCTTTAGGAGTGAGATAAAGAAAGCCTTGACTAAACATTTTCTAGAATGTTAGTGAATGTTGCGAATCGACGGAGTTGGCTTTGAAACCAAAGCGGTATCCGAAAGAGGATAGGTTCTTTTATTTTAATATTTATTACTGTCCTTCTTTTGTCGAGAAATATACGCTGTAATTAACGAGTGCGATGCATTGTAAGTTTTAATATTTTTTCTTTGTATACTTATATTTCCACAGTGTTGAAGCTCTAACCGACTACAGAGATACAGGTTATGCAACACTACCCCTCCCCCCTGAAAAAATCTATTGACTCCAAATCTTCACTACAGCAACAATTGAATATTCTACGACTGAATGCAGAATTAAATAATGTCCCGCAACTTAAGTTAAAAAGTAGACATCAGAATCTCAGTTCTAATGTTGAAACAAGTACGATACTATTTGTAATTGTAAGGAAATATTTTTGACTAAGAGTAATAATAACTCAGGGTTGAAAATATATCCAGAAATCGTTCAATCAAATGATTCAAGCATTAATCACAGTTTTTTTGTGTCAGTTGATTGTTCTGTCTAGCAGCGTGGATCTTCAGCGTAACACTGTCACGCATTCTTGTCAACAGCAGTAGCAAAACATTGGCGAAACCGGTTGACGTGTTCACCCTAGTAATATTTGCATAAATTGTCACATGCAGCAGCAGTTATCACGTAACAAGCTAAGGATGTAAGTACCTTCGCAAAATCCGTCGATTATCATTAATTAAACTTACATTTACATTTAATTAAACTGGCATTTACTTTCTAAAGTTGTATTTCTTTAAGCCCCAGTGAGTAAAACTGATTTTTAACAAAGTTCCTAGTTCTCGTTTGTTCATGAAAGTTTATAGATGGAATATTCAAAAATAGCTCAGCCGTCGGTCAAGTTTGAGTAGTCAACTACTTGGGATACAACTTTGGAATCCATCGTCATAAAATTAATGTTGTTTTTCTAGACTAAATCAATTAATTACAACCCGCTGGATGATCACTTCTCAGAGCTGGTCGCTAACAGTCATTGCGAGGTATAACCACTTCCTGCATCATTAAAAAACGATTTAAAATGAAAAGGTCTCTTCTACATGCCAGGGTAAGGTGGGGGAGGCTCTCCCACTAAAATCTCCGTCCTTGGCATCATCATCGGCTGAGGAATTGCGAAGTGCAGACTTTCTAACGGTGGTGGGTAGATTGAATGTAGGAATTCTGGATAGTAATCCTGATGTTGAAGACCGGCTTCGGAAGGCTGCTGTGTGTCACAAACGTTAGTTGTCACGCTAGAGTCACGCGTACGCCGCCTTTTAGAGTTGCAGTCCATGCTGTATTTTACTAACAGGAAAATCCCTCCAAGAAGGATCAGAAGGAAAAGAACTGCCAGTACGATGTACACAGCAGATGCAACTCTTTTGAGCGCTGCAAAAGTGAAAAAAATTGTTTCTAATTTGAGTTGGAATTCTCAGAATTCGAACTGTTTCGCTATGACGAGGGGCTAACGCTCGAAACGTCAGCTTTAAAACTCTTTACGGTGGCCAACTTACTTTATCAACTAAGTTGATAATACTTAATTGCCCTGTTATACTCTCTCGGTGGGTGAGTATAACAGGGTAATCATTACAGTTTCTCTATTAACGTACATTTGTAGAATATACAGTTTCACTATCCCTTTGGGCAACCTTTTGTCTTGAAATCCAATATGTAGTGTGTATTGCAATAGTCTATCAGTCTAGCAGCACTGAAAACATCACTATAATCCAATAATCTAGGGATCAAGATTCCAAAGGAATGCCTGGTTAAGCTGTTCTCTTGGTCTGCTTTTCGCCTAATCATTTAAATTCCTTCACAGCTTTATTAAATGGCGTGATGCATTTTGACAGGTAAAGTCGTATCATCACGATTCAAAGGTAAATAAAGTTGATATCAAAGTTGGCAACTCAGAGAGCTCAAGCATTGAACAAGAACAAGCGGTTGGATGAACCAAGCACTTATACAGCGAACAATGACAAGGCTTGAAACAATGACTAGAAAACACCAGAAAACTAGGTAAAGTCAGTAAAGGTACCTTCAACTTCTTGCAAGTGACACAGGAACACTGAAAAAGAAAACAAAGAATATTATTCGTTCAGTGGTTTATTGACCCGTGAATTTTCGCAAAAAAATGTCATATTTCCCTTCTTGTTACACCCTTAATCAACAGCCCTTAATCAACATATGTGCAGGGTGCGTCGAAATAAAATATGTACTTTTCTCGGAAATCGGGTAAGTGTGAATGGTTTGATGCGACATGTGCAAGGTAAGCAATCAAGCATGTCGTTGTAATTGATTGACGATTAACCGACAACTTGATTTCCCTAATTCCACAAATTTTACTTCTGCCTTATATATACTAGTTTCGAAGATAAATTGATTATAAAACTCCTGTGAACCGTTTGCAGCTTTGTTGTTCACACATTCCCCCAATTTTAGCCATGATTACCCTATTCAAATGAATTCAGTTAATCCATGACAACAACTACGTGTGTGCACGCTAGTTTCGAATGTTATCATAATTTCAGAAAGTGACATCAATAATTATCCTAAGAGGTTTGAATATTAGGTATTTGCCGGAAAAGCAGGTTCTTTTACTTGATGAAAAGATATGTATATTTTTTTAATTCATCAATTCGTTAAGCAATAAAAAAAAAGTCTTTCAAACTTTATAAGTGGTGATACGAGCCGCTGAAGGAAACAGAACGTGATCAAATGACAATGATGTTATGTAGAATTTTTTTTACTCGCCAACTGCCTGGTGAATGAAAAACTTTCAACCTAGCATCTAGTGATCGCAAGTTATCTAAGCTTTATATCGTAACTTACAGAAATAACAAATGGCAGCGTACACTCGTGCGTCGATTTCTTCACTAAATGTGATCGATGACCAGACTGACACTTAATCATAAGGGGACCTTACGCAATCAGGACGGCAACGCCGGGAAAACGTTGACGAAAAATTGAATTTATATCTTTTGTAGAATTTTGCGAATGGATGTTGTGTTTACACTCCCTAACGGAGCCGCTTCTTTACTTCGGCGTAACTTCTGTGAGCAGCGTAAAGTTGAAAATGGAACTTAAATAATTTGTGGTTGGGGTTTCCGTTGTCAAATCATGTAAATTTCACAGTAGGTGTCATCACGTTGTCGTTCGCAGAAGACGGCTAGGAAGTGTACAAATATTTAAAACACACGGGCTGAACTGTTGTTTAGACATTAGATCTTTGTTGTTTTACCTCGACCTCGCTGACGTTGTGATTTGCTGAAGTACTCTAATGACTAAATAAAACTTGCTTATACCTCGTGATTTTGCTGTTGTTATCAATCGCATTCCCAAGCACATTGGGTAAAAACACGCTAAGATTAAGAATCCTTACCTGAACAAATGAGATACACAGAGAATTTCATCGCGTCAATTTGATCCAAAGATCACTCGTTAGACAAGCGGGTTACGATATCTTCAATACTAATTACGCTTCAATGACGGAAGGCTCAGTCTGATCACGTGACCTCGCCGGGGTCAGCTAATTAGAAAGTGGAGTGAGTTATTGATTCTTACGTGTGATAACTACTACCGCTAAGAACACTTCCGCATGATATTACCATGATCAAAAATAACTAGAGTCAGAGGTACAATTTTTTTGTTTATTCTAGACTTCCTACAAAGTGGAATCCAAGAGGACATGAACTGTAACTTGGTGGAATCATTATGCAATTTTGTGACCTAACGAAGATGTTTTCCATCATTTAGGAACCACAAAATAACAAACACTCCCCTTTAATTTCGAGCAATAACACAACTGTGGCTGAGTCGACAGGAGTGAACATAAGAGGACATGGATGAATAAAAGGAGTGCGCACGTAACAGAGTGTAGAAGGGACTCTGGAAAATTGACTGCCAATGAACTGCCAATGCAAAGGGGATAATTATTCCCCCTCAGCAGGGAATAAATAGTGTTCAAGTTAGCTAACGAGCCAGAAAGTTCGGTGTCCCTGGGCTTAACTAAGTTTCAGCGGCAGGAAGCGAATAAAGCTCTTGCCACTTCTCAGCACGGAATACTTGGGTCACATCACTCCAATTATTTGGACAGGTTTTCCTGACAGTTTGCCGCTAGCTTTTGATACTCTTATCCTAACTGGAAACACGCATTATGAGAGTTAACTATGAGTTTAGCGTCTTGCCCAAGAAGGCATCAAAACGCGCCGAACTTTTCGGTCCGTGGTCCTGGATATTAGAGACCAGGTCTTTACGTCTCCTGCCCTTCAGTACGAAAGGCTTTAAAGGCAAAAATTAAATACATGTAAGAGCGTAATGAGTGCGTCGGACAAATAAATTGTATTTAGGAAAGTATGTTTGAATATACATATAATGGCGTGAAACAATTATCAAGTTATTTTTTTTAACGTAGAACATTGGACTTCAGAATCCGCACGTATGAAGTAATATTCCTCGTGTGGGACCACGATGTTTTCCCTTCGTTCGTTACAAAAGGAAATGAGCAAATGAGCTCAAAATATACATTTTAAGTTCTATTTACACTCTTTATGGCAAAACAGCGACACAAGTTAAATAGCTGCGTAAATGAACAAACATTCAAACATACCCCTCAAGAAATGACAAAAAATAGAAATAACAACTGTACAATTCTTTCACAAGTCTCGAGACCCTAACAAATTGAGAAATACGTAATTTAAACAAACTGGAAACAGAAAAAGAATTTGAGATAAACACAATGTTTTTAGGAACCCCAGCTGGCTAGTAGGCTTCATAGAAAGAGCAGTCAAGGAGTTGAACTCAGAGGAACTGAAAACAAATCCAGTGAGAAGCAGAGAAGACGGCTTGAAGCTGGGACCACCAGATTTTATAAGACCAGCACCCTAATGATTCTCGGTGTCTTAATGAATCCGGAATCATGATGAACGTTTTCTGTATCCTCCTTCCAAAAAATCGTTATATCATCCTGCATGAGGATAGCGACAAATGTCCATGCCTTTCCTGAGGATACGACTACGAGCGTCCCAAGGGTGGATGCGGTAAATAAGTATCCTCTCCCGGATAAGGTGGCGGAGGCTCTGTCGGATATGTGTAGGGAGGAGGAGGCTCCATCGGGAACGTATAAGATGGGGTACGATAGCCCCTTGTGGAGGGTAGGTATAGGTTTATGTTTGCAGCTGGGTGAGGCCTTGATGCACGAATAAATTGGCGGCTCGAGTTGTGTCTTATTCTACATCTTAGAGCATGAAGAAATTGCCGCCTTGGGGTTGAACTTCTCCGACGTCTTATGATGCTGCAAGCCATACATATCAGTAACAGAAACAGCGAAACTCCCCCAATGAAAAGGATGGTTAGAACATCTAAGGATAAATAACAAAATGAAATTAGTAACAAGCCTTTTAGTTGCCTGCAGAGCAAGCGTCCTATCAGGGCGCGTTAACGTTACAAGGTCGAGATCGTTTATTCAATCGGCCATGTTAAATTTAGAGTTAGAGTGAAATACTCTTTGATTGGTAGCCCCACCCCCTCCCCTCTCCTGCTTTTAGACCGTCGCCCACCCCCTTAGTACAAATTTCTTTCTCTACCCAGCCTTCCGCTGCTGTAAGAATTATGAAAAAAGGCAGCTGCAATTTTCACCAAGAAAATACTGAGTACTCGATAGCCGAAATGACCCCTGATCTGCAAGCTAGCCTAAAATTGGAATCTCAGCCCCCTCCGTTACAATAGCTAGCATAACAGTTTGTCTGCGTAACATTTAAAAGCTAGGCACGTACTTTTAGTGGGTCTCGATGTGTTTGCTAAGCACTTTGAAGTGTCATGGATTCACACACACCCTTACCAAGATGTAGAGGTCTTAACACATATGACTAGTTGTCATAGCTTATTTCTGTGAATTTGAAGAGACCTTCAATAACCAGCGAGAAGGTAAGGACTTCAGAAATCAGCGGTGTTTACAAACTAAGCAAAAATAACGACGACGACAACAACAACAACAACAACAACAACAGCAGCCATACAACAAGAAAACAGCAATACCACACAAGGAGGTTACATACATATCCTTTAGGAAGAAGTTGATGTCATTATTATTGTTGTTATTTTTATCTTTATTGAGCTGATTTATAATGTTCGTTACAACAAAAAGTCATGCTGTGTGAAGTGTGGACTTACTTGCTTTGTGAACCTGTTCGAACTGAGCTTTAAAACCACTGCAATTGCCATGATTATCTTCGTCAGATCGAAACTGAACCCTCAAGTAGCGGCTAGTGGAAGAAACGTCGCTTGGAAGTATTGCTCCACATAATTTCGTTTTCACTTCACTGGCGGAAGACCAGCCATCGTAAATTTGAACATAATCTTCATCACAGCTCGAAGACCATTCCACGTCGAAGGCAGTGAAACTAAGTTTAACCAGCTTTCCATACGGCACAGTTATGACCCAAGTACAATTAATACTTTTGGGATACTTCGATGGGTAAAAGGGACTCTCAAACGTTCCTGACGAGCCCTCTAGCTGTAGATTGTTGTTGTTGATGTTACCTGGGAAACACTTCGTTTTGTTTCTAGCAGCTAAGAAACATAAAAGGCAAAATAAGATATACGAGTTTCATTAACTTCCTCATACGCCATAAAGTGTTCAATTGTAACAAGAAAATCCACACAAAGGAAAGCTGGCGCTGGAGGCTGAGAAAGATAGAATCAGTTTTCTTTAATTTGTAACTCGATGCATTCATTCCATTAAGCAAGCTCAAAAAAATTAAAATTGTAACGCTTCAGGGCTGGAACTAATCTTTTCAGTTTCTTTCCAAAAACACAAACTGACGATTACCCTGGCCACAGAGGATCAGTTGGATTCTACCATACTACGCATTAAATCACCACTGATTTCCCTCCACTTAAACTGCGTCGACGTCTCCAGATCAACAACAGTCAAGGTTTATGGTGTTCCAGAATATTTGGTTGAACTTCTTTAATCAAAAAGAGTCTTCATGTAGTTGTTAGCCATAAAGTCCTCAACTCTTATCAGCTCCCTTTTAAGTAGCAATCTGCACAATGTTTTTTTCCTGTATCTCCGATCCAGTACAGATTATTGTATAACAATTGAGAAGCTGGCTGCATAACCATTATACACCGAATTTCAAGTTGTATAGGGAGTTTCACAATACATGCAATGCTCGACATTCCAAGGAAACATGCTTCCTTGCAATTGTACTTGCCTAAATCTATAGTACTTGGAGAATCATAGTTTATCCCTGGTCTCAACCTCATCTGTGAGGAATAGTCAATGCTCCATTTCTACCAAAGCTAAAACGCACTTAAAGCTTTATTATGTTAAACACGGAGTTAATGATAACTTGAACCTTTCATCAAAGTCAGTTTATTCCAGTTTCTGTCACTGACTTTCATTCAGTTAGAGGTGGTTTAACTAAACATGTTTTTGTGGTGAGAATGGGGCACGAGACCGACACTTTATCGCTTCGTTTGATTAATTGTTATAAGAAACAAACGGTTTCCTTTGTTCTATCTGAACAACGCAAAAACATTTCTTGGAATCAACGCACAGCCCTGACAAAAATGCAAAAATGTTTCCCAACCGAATTGTAGCTCGGAAGAAAAACAAATTATGTAAATATGACCAAAAATAGTTATCAACATCAACAGAGCAATTAATGTTTCGCGCCGACATTCAATGGTTATACACTCGGCGCTTTTGTTATCAAAAACTGGAAGCTTCCATTCCAAATTATAAGATTAAAAGTGATGTTAACTTACCGTAATTTTCAGCACTTGAAAATCCAATCCAGGCCGCAAAAATCAGACCTGAATAAGTGGATGAGAATAGCATAAAAATGAAAGAAGAGATCAGAGTTTTTTTAAACTACGTCGTTATCAATCACTATCTGTAGCATGCATCACTAGTTTGTGTTGTGGTTCAAATCTTAATGTTTCCTTTGTTCATAGCTAGTATGTTAATTAGTAAGGAAGGATCACGTTCGTCGCCTGTGATGTGCAAAAAGCACGAATCAACTCTCATGCCATAGATATTAAATATTAGTTTCAGTCAAATCAAAGCTAATTACCGAAAGAACCTCCTTGGCTACAAATAGTTTCCTTTCATCCACTCGTGACAAGACCTACAAGATTTTTCTCGAGGAGAGCCTCGAGTTTTAATTAATTGTACGTGATATGAACAGGTCGGGCCAGGAGGCAGATTAAAAACAACTACTTAAACATGCACATTTTCTTGTTGAGAGTTAGTCTTCAATTATCATTGGATCTAACCTGAAATGTAAAGCTAATGAAAGATATATTTACTGACATGGAAGAGCTCGTTGGAAGCTATGTTGTTACTCAACCGAAAATCAAATAATATCATAATAAATTCAGTGTGATCATTTCTTTACATTGTAGCTTTCACTACAATTGTTCAAAACATCTCTGGGGAATTAGATAAATTATTTGCGTTATCATTCGGTTAAATTAACTTCTACACGATCACGAAAAATACTGGAAAAAAAATTGCAACTGATAATATCCGCCCGAGGAAATAAGTTTCGCTTTTAGCTGAGATATTTCGTTCCATCACTACCTGGAATAATTTCCATGCATCTCAAATGCATTGGAAACCTTAATCGCAAGCTATAATCAAGTTCAGTTAACTAGTAAACATTCCGTTCTTGGGAAAAATGTTAATAACTCAGTAGGCTTAATTCTAATGCCAGTCATGTCAATCACGATTTCAAGCCTTTGAAATTTTTAACGGCGTTATTTACTACTTCAGATACTTCGCATGGAAGAAAAAAATCGTAGATTATAATCCGCGTCACCGATATAAAGACTGATATCTATTAGTAGATATCAAGTTTGATTCATAGAAACTCACCCATTGATGTTAACGAGTCCATAATTTATGTTGTGCGATGAAAGAGTTAAACATGTCAAAGACTCTCGTAAAGTGTTACCAAAATTCACGTCACCTGCTAACGTCTTTTAAGGATGCGGTGGGTCACATTCTTCATCGACCATTTCGCTGAAGTTTCAGAACGTAACGACCAAGATACACAAAATGATTATACCCAAGTTGTTTTCTAAGCAATTTTTGCTTTCATTATTGATTGGCACGATGGGAGAGAAAGATTTGGGCACTAGTTAATCACAGTCACGCTATTCAAGGGTCACAAAAGGCCTGAATCTTAATAAGTGCTCTTAAAATCCTTTCACTCCTAGAAGTGATTAACATGTAACTTCTCCCCGTAAAATCCATAACGTGAATAGAGATCAGGTAGAGAGAATAATTAAACTTATCAGGTAGAAGTTTTTATCTTGATCTAACACCAAATTCTCGTAGCTTATTTATAAGGAAATGTTTAACAGCTAGAGGGGAAATGAACAATCAGATCTTAGAAGTTTAAGGGTTAAAAGAAAAAAAGAAGAGCAGAGGTGATTTCCGGCGTAATTTCTTTTAATTGCTCATTCATATACTTTAGTGGTTGCCATATTTTCAGTTTGAGAAAAAAAAAATTTATTTATTTTTTGATAGTTCAGGTTGTGTGATTTTCCAAACAAATGTTTAGTGTTAGACGAATTCGTGGACCGAGGTCACCTTGGATGACCACAAACAACTCCCTGGCAGCGCGCAGCCGGGAACATAGTTTATAAGAGGCTAAATGAAAGGACGCACGGGATGGGGGAGGATTTCATCCAGCACTGTCCTTAATTTATAATAAAAGGCCTTCTATCGGGTAATTGCAACTTCTGCCTTTGTTGTTGTTGCCTTTGTTTGGTTTTTATAATGGTCTCTGATTACCAAACTTGCCGCTCGCAAAAGGACTGGCGGTGTTAATGCTGCCTCAGTGATTTGATAACAAGTGAGCTGACTGTTCAGGATTCGTCGAGACCGGAGCATAATCCACTCTTGGGGATGACTCATTGGCTCCAGACTGAGTAGGACGGGATGTGCGAGACGTGGTCGGTGCTGGTGCCATTGGAATTCTTTCTACCCCAGCTCCACGTCGTTTGTTACTTCGTGTCCTCTTATACACCATAAAGCAAACCACTGCAATTACTATGACCATCAAAGAAGATACAACTGCGACAACGATGACCAATGATTTGGGCTCTGAAAAGAAAACAAAAGAAATCAAAATTTCATCTTGGGGAGGTTAATTAGTCATTTATAGATCACAAAGGAACAAACTGCCAAACTATAAGTTGGTGAATCCTGTCATTTTCCAGCAAGTGTCATTGTAGCTTGCAAGCAGGCTATCGTCATTAATGCATCGGTACGAGCGTTACTTCGGCACGGGCGTTTCTTCGGCACAGGCGTTTCTTAGGCACGGGCGTTTCTTCGGCTCGAGCGTTTCTTCGACACGAACGCTTCTTCGGCAGGAGTGTTTCTTCGGCAGGAGCGTTTCTTCAGCAAGAGCATTTCTTCGGTACGAACGTTTCTTCGGCACCGGCGTTTCTTCGCTCGCGAGAAAGTACGAAGCCTTGAGCAATGCGAGTCAGCGAGAGATGTGCGAGGGGTTCAGTACCCACTATTTATGCCATATCCCCGAAAAGTCCCGGCCGGGTATATGCGAAGTTATGGGGCATAAGTGAGCAAAAAGATAAAAAGTCCCCCCCCCCTCCAAAAAAAGAAAAAACCCCTTTCATTAGCTCACGCTTGTAACGCTCCTAAAAGCGCAAGAACAACACTTTTAAGTCATCTGATTTTGACTTTAAATTCTGAAAAACGCCTGCCGAAAATAGCTGCATGTACCTCGCAAGTTACAACTTACTACTTATAGCTTTAAAAGAAGCCTTCAATCCAGTACGTAATACATCAGGCTCAGAGTCGGAGTTGAATCTGACCAACATATGCCGACCAGTTGACTGAACTTCGCGTATGACAGAATCTCCGCAGTATTCTTCTAAAGTGCGGCTCTTGTTAGTCTCTCCATCAAAGATCTGCACAAAATCAGAGCACCCAATTGGACTTATATCAAATTTTTCAAAGCTGAGTTCTACTCTCTTTCCCTCCGGTACGGTGATGAGCCAAACACAGACTAAATCCGTGGGGTAATACTTCAGAGGAGTTTGTAATGTCCCCTCTGTGCCAGTTAACTTCAGGTTTCCATTATCGGGATTCCCCAGCAAACAAACTTCTTTGGAACGAGAAGATGCAACAGGTTCAACTAGATTTAGTATAAGAAAGAAAATATGTTTGAGTGAAATCTGGAAAATGTGGACACCAAAAGGACAGGGGTTCACAAGTAAGCGGCTACCCAGGAAATACAAATCAAAACAAACAAAGAGGGGAAAAAGAGAGCGAAAAAAAAAAAGGGTCTTCATGGTATAAATGGCCTTATTATTGAAACAATCTTCTGCCGTCACTGTTTCAAGAGCCACCCTCTTAGAAAAGCAAAATTTAAAATAAAATAAATTATAAAAATGCGTGTGCCTGCTAATCTCCGACTCACCCCCCCAACACTGCTTATCCGCGACTCATCCCCCTAACCCTGCTTATCTGCGACTCATTCCCCCAACCCTGCTAATCCCGACTTCCCCCCCCCCCCCAACACTGCTTATCTCCGATTCATCCCCCTAACCCTGCTTATCTCCGACTCATTCCCCAACCCTGCTAATCTCCGACTCTTTCCCTAACCCTGCTAATCTCCGACTCTTTCCCTAACCCTGTTAATCTCCTACTCATCCCTCTCCCCGTTGCTAATCTCCGACTCATCCCCCAACCCTGCTAATTTCCGACTCACCTGGTTCATCCCGAGCTCTGAATGCAGCACTAAATCCACCGGTTATCGTCATGATTTCACCCGATCTGAAACGAACCATCATGTATCGACCAGTCGAGCGAATTCGTTCTGGTATATCGTACCCACACAATCTTCCTTTACTATCGCTAGAGCTGTCCTTCCCGTCAAGAGCTTCCACATAATCTGGTGTACATTTTGAGGAGGGACCCTTCGGTATACGAAACGTCTGAAAGCTTAACTCGATTATGTTTCCTTCAGGCACAACGATAAGCCATGTACAACTTAAATGTGGATAGTAACGTTCGGCCGGGCTTTGAAGGGTTCCATAAAAACCACTTAGTTTTAAATTGTTGTTGTAAACGTTTCCAGGATAACAAAATTCCTCGGGATTTCCAGCTATGTAAAAGGAAAAATGAATAAATAAATAAAAAAATTTGTGAATAAATTAAAATGAAGATGAAGATGAAAATGAAAATAATATAAAAAGGAACTGAGTTATAGTTATACGTCATCCACCGCTTCAAGTGCGTCACCTTAAGGTGACATTTTAAAAATTGCTTCCGCGTTGTGAGAATAACGCTCGAGGTGTTATCTTTTCCCTAAAAATACCTATACAAAAATGACTGTTTTCTCAAATTGTGAACACATTCTTCGAGAAATTTTTAAGTCTTTCGAAGTAATCCGGGATTTGTTTGGTTTTGCTTTGCCTAGTCATGTGATAGGTCCAGAAATCTTGCACCACTTTCTCAACAAACCTAATAAAAAATTAAAACCAAAGGCGACTTGGTCACACACGTTTTCCAACGCCTCAGAGTCTCGCAAAAAGAAAAAAAAAGGCTTTCGTTGAGTTTAATGAGCATGATCTACTCACATAACAGCATAACAGCTCTTACTGGTTTCGCGAAATCATGTTTATGTTCCAATAACCGCTAAAATAGTGAGGTAGAAAGGTAAAGTAGAAGTTGTACCCGTAGGAAGTGGCCCACCAAGCCTTAGCTTATCCTAGTTACCATAGCATGAAATGACTAGGAGTATCACTACTACCCCCTGGATGGGATGCTAGTCCATCGCAAGGTTACCCCTACCCCGGCACCCCCTCCCCTTGCATTTTATCAGGCCTCCCTGACAATTCGCTGATACCCATTTACACTCCACATGGGTGGATAGGGGTACTGTAAGAGTACAGCGTCTTGCCCATGAACACAACTCATTGACACTGCCAGGTCTGGAAGTCAGACCACTCGAGTCGGAGTCCACCGTATTAACTGCGTCTCCCGAAATGGTGAGGTGCATTTACAGTGAGTTACTCCGGAATAATTACATACGCCTCTGCAGCTGAGTCCAAAGAAAAGCAAAGTATTGTAAATGAATAGATACTCACGAGGATCTAAAGCCTCGAACCGTGCTTTGAAACCTCTTCGTTTATAAAACCAACTGTCAAAACCAGAATGAAACTTCACCCACATGTAACTTCCAGTGGAATAAACATCATAACGATAATTTACGTCAAAACGTCGTAGCTCAGGGCTTCGAGGTGATTTACCATCGCGTATCTGGAAGGCATCATCAGATTTTAAGCTAAAATATTCAAAGGTAAGCTTCACTCGTTTGCCAGCTGGAACAGAAATAAGCCAAATGCATGTCCAGTTTGTTGCGTAAAAAGCTGGATAATTAGGGGTAAAGAAGGTACCATTGAACCCCCTGAGGTGAATGACTTTATCACTTGATGAGCGACAAATTGAAGCTGATTCCTCTGCAAATACAAGAAACAGCGAAACTCTTTGAAGCGATGTTAAAACTATCTCCTCTCAACTTTTAGCCAAAGTAAAAATTGCACCAAACTGTGACTGAAAGATATCAATTCAGTGGGAATACGCATACACAGTGCAACACTGGTACTTTCGAGTGGTTTATCCTAGAAGTTCCAACATGTCGCTTGTATTATCTTGGTGTTAACAGGAGCCTTAACGGAGTCAGTGAACAAAGAAAATAGAAGTGACATTTGGGAAATTCCCTACTATTTGCAAAAAAGATTTGCATTGAGTACCCTGCATACAGTAAAATTTACAGTGTGTATGCACATTGTCATCGACTTGCTATCTTACAATCACAGTTCTATGCAATTCTTACAAACTAAGCGATTTCGAATTTGGACGCAACCACACCTTACAAACCGTCCAAGCCCTCCCTTCCGCGCTTTTAGTAGGGGTTGAACCCCTAGAGGGTATGCTTCCTGATGTTAGAAATAGCTGCACTTTGACTATGGCTACAAGTTGGATTTGATCATCGCCTAGCGAAGAAGTAAACATAGGAACCTGTGAACTGAAACATCACATCTCATAACCCCATCCAATAATTTCCGTCGCGTGTGATTGGTCTAAACGCGTCATGTGGCCAACTAGACCCCGACTAAATCTGGGAATATCCAACGATATTCCTCAATTTCAAATTAAATTAAGATGGGAATTTCGCATTGAAATAAAAGGTATTTCGGTCTTGTCGAATAAGCCTGCAGACAACTTTTTCACGATAAGGTAACTTGCGTTTTCTTTAAACGGATCTTTCAAAGAAACTTCTCTAACGGTTCCACAATGCAAGTGCCCGAAAGATTGGACGCCATCTACTGCTATTACTTACCTTTATTAACAGCTGAAAAACTTAATTTAAACCCCTTGCGATTTGTGTAACGATCTGTGCTGAACTCGACAAATATGTGTCGTCCAGTAGAATAAATTAAATCAGGCGGAGTCGCGCCACAGTACGCGGTTCCAAGGATGTTCGAAGTGGTGTCATTTCCATCGTAAAATATAAGTTTATCCCGGCAGGAACTGTAAAAGTACATGTCTCCTGCCAGTTCGAAGGCCTGAAATGTTACCTTAACTATGAGTTCACTAGGTGCTTCAAGTATCCACTTACAATCTTCATTGCTGTCGTACGGCGAAGGGTAATTTGGACTCGTGAGTGTTCTGACGGAAGATTCGGAGACATAGAGTACCTTGGCATGATACGGACAAACTGAAAACGTAAAAAAAGAAGACAGATCACTTCAGAATTAAAGATCAAAATTTACAAGGCACGATGAAAGTTATTACAAATTCATTTATAAAAATCTATTTAAAAAAAATTTGCTACACAGCGCTTTAAAATTAGTGTTTAACCTCGGTTGCCTTATTAGCGTACGTATAACTCTCTTAAATTAGGCAATTCATTAACCTTTTGAACCTTAGAGTGACTAAGCTAGCAAGAGCTAAACTGATAAGAGCAACTTTCTATTGGATTTGAAAGTAAAACAGGATTACTCTATTTTCGCTTTACTTCCCTTAGGGTTATGATTGGTCTAAAAAACTCGCGCCAATCTCTCAACCAATCAGATGCAAAAGTAAATTCAAGCACGACTTGGTCGCACGCGCCTTCCCGCGCTTTAAGTAGGTTGTTTCCCATTGGCTCTTAAAGGTATTTTCCTTTCTTCTGATTGGTTATTGTGATTATTTTGGTTTCGGTTTTATCACTTTAAATCCAAAAGCACTCTATAAACGAACTTGCCTTCGCGGAAAGAGATTATCTCATGGAAAGTGGGCACGAATGATTCTTATGCACGAGTTGCGATACATAAAAAAAAAAACAAAAAACAAAAACAAAAAACAAAAAAAAAACAAAAAAAACCAACGATTGAGCGCAGCGAAAAAGTGAGTTTTTTGATGCATCGCAATAAGCGAATAAAAATCGTTCAAGCGCTTCCCATGGTATGAAGTTTTTACTTCATACAAACCGAGATTTTTTTCACATTTCAATTCAAAGATTGAAAGCGAACTGCTGTTAAAATACACTGTTCGTCCAATCAGAGACGCGAACGATAGTGCTTCACAATGAAAATCTGAGTATGTATGAAATAAAGTATATTCTTGCATACTGTAAGTTTCCTCAGCTGTGAACGTGGCTGTAAATCCAAGGTGCCATGACGTTTCATTGTCTGTTCTGAGTCGCACCACGATGTACCGGCCAGTTGAGTAAATATTCATTGGCGTTACAGAGCCACAGAATCTGCCTCTCCTCACACTAGAACTGCTATTCCCATCATAAACCTCCACAAAATCCCTTGGGCATCCCCACGGATGACGATCAGATTCAAGGTGAAATCCAGTAAATACTAGTTTTATAATTTTGCCTTCTGGAACAGTTATAAGCCAGTCACAACTTGAATTCAGGAGCTGGCCCTTAGGACTTCGAAAACTTCCACTTAGGCCATTCAATCTCAGGTTGTTATTATTGGTGTTACCAGGAAAACAAACCTTTGTAGAGCTGTTGGCTGCAAACAGAATTTACACATGTTAAAGAAAAGAATTTGAAAACTGTATTTCCTAGGCTAGAATAAGCACTTGATTATGGGCCTTCAGCCTAATAAGAGCCCTCCCCCAAGACTATCATGTCAAACAATTACAATCCTCTTAAATGAACCCTCCTCCTCCTCCCTCACTTTATTAAATAGTAAGGGTTCAAGGAAAACCTGTTTCTATTGCCACTTTATACAAGTCAGTAAAGGATAATAGTTTCAAGTCCCCTTCCTTTCTAGATTAAGCGCCCTCCTTCCAATTCTAGATTAGGTGCCCTCCTTACAATTAGCACTCTCCTTTAAGCTGAAATTTAAAATAGGCAACTGGGCTCCTCTTAAAGGAAATGCAGTATTTACTCCATTTGTGGTATCTAAAATTGGTGACAAAAATGATGACACATTGACCTTTCCAATCAATTAATACTTCAATTTTATTTTGTTTGCCCTTTATAAATTAACCCTTTAACTCCCAGAAGTGATTAACATAAAACTTCTCCCTACAATATCCATACATTCTTCAGCAAACAGGTAATGAGAATATTCAAATTTATCAGGTAGAAGCTGCTGTCTTGATCTAGCACCAAGTTGTCATCACTAATTTAGAAGGAAATGTGTAGCAGCTACAAGGGAGAATTAACAATCAGATCTCAGGAGTTAAAGGGTTAAGCCATTCACTCTCTTTCCCCCTCCTCCCCCTCCCCCCCTTTGAACTTTTAGCTACATACAGGCACCATTAAGGAGGGGTCTCATCAATGATTTAGGGTGTGGTAGAAACAGAAGAATTATTCTACACATAAATAGAACTCTTTACGCACGATGTGTCAACTGATTTTAATGCTGATTGTAGGTAGTTAAAAAAAATGCCTTGCACCTGCTTAGCTAGACAAAATAAGGAAAACTATGGATGAACCCTCTCTTGAGGTGAAACCCAAAACATTTAATTTTTCACTTGTACTTCCTTAGTATATCAGTATGCAAACTTTCCATACTATGCTCTAAACATTTCCCAAGGTGCTGACAAAGAAAATTTGTTTAACAATCAAGAGCTTCTTTAGTTCATGATCATTTCCTTTATTCTCGCAACCTAAATGTGCGATTCTGGGATGATATTGTAAAGAAAAGAGAAAAGGTGCTAATCACTCGTAAGGCTCAACCCTTTAATTCCCAAGATCTCATAAGTAATTCTTCCTACTGTCTGCCATAAAATACTCATGATTTCAATTTGGAGAATTTGGTATTGGATCAACTTGTAGTCCCCTAAACGAGTTTTTTTCTATTCTCCTCACTTGTCTGCTTGATTCTGCCACCCATGGGAATTAAAGGGTTAAAGGGTTATGCAAACCTTCCATTGCATACCACACAAACATGTTGCATCTCACCATCTTATAACATGCCTGAGAAAATAGATGTCAATGTAAAGATCATGTGGGAGAACTTCATTTTGAAAGCAAATAAATTTGGATAAAGAAAAAGAATGATGTTTTTATGTCTTGTCACAGGTGCAGGGCAAATAACACCTTTCTCTATTTATTGACTGAGCTTAACCCTTTAACTCCCAAGATCTCATCAGTAATTCTCCTTACTGTCTGCCATGTAGTTCTTGTGATGTTAGTTTGAAGAATTTGGTATTGGATCAACTAATTATCCCCTAATTAATATTTTTTTTTATTCTCATCACTTGTCTGGTCAATATTGTACTGATATTGTAAGGAGAAATTCTGTCTTGGTCACTCATGGGAATTAAAGGGGTTAAAACTTACCATCTTTCTAATTCTTTTGAATTTGGATAATTTACACAATTTTTCAAACTGTGTTATAACAGACATTACTGCTTTGTTTACATTTTCTACTCTGTAATATAAAATGTTTACAAAAAATTAAGGTGGGAAATGCAGTGGTAGTATTTTTTGGGTGCTAAATCCAATTTTCATTCCCTATCAAGAGGCTCTGTTTGCCACCTTATAAGGATGTTATGTTGGGCTCTTGGTCCCTACAATTTACCAACAAAGCACTTCCTTCCCCTCAGAAGTTTTAAGGGATTACCACCAAACTTGTGGAGAGACAAAACTTGTGAGGCCAGCAATGGCTAATGTCTAGCATGCTCATTCTGGGTCGGGAGGTCTGGGTTGGAGAACATATCACTCTCACACTCAAACATATCACTCTCACACTCAAACATATCACTCTCACAGTGCCTCAGTCCCCCTCCCAGGAGTACAAATAGGTAGCGGTGAAATATCAGAGAAGCCTGACAAATTGTTGGGGGGGATAACTTGTGATGGACTGGCATCCCATCCAGGGTAGGGTAGTGATCATCTTAATCCCTTCACACTAAGGAAACTGTGACAATCTCCAGCAGTACAGCCTTTATCTTTTTATACCAGACTATGGTCATGATAATATGATAACTTACAATGGTTGTGCTGGACTTAATTACAGGTAGCCATTTCATGTTACAGAAACAGTGACGAATTCTAGGAAAATCACAGTCTGCCCTTGTTGTTAAATTTATGCATCATGTCATCATTATGGTAGGGTTATTTCATCTTCAGTTCTCTCTACTTCCTTTCAGGACACACAAAGTTAAAACTTACCAATTTCCTGAGCAAATGTATTTCTAGCCATCAAGGAAAATAGCACCAAACCTGTAAAAAAAATTCAAAATTCTCCATGAAAAATAGAAGGACCATAATCAATTTCAAAATTCACTTTGAGATATACAGGAAACAAGCACATGTAATTTTCATGAGTTGTATTAGCTTAGACATTTGACGGCTTCTCATTCAATATGAAATTATTGATTCACATCTTAAAAGAAAAATTACTCTTCCTTGTTGTAATTAAAGTGGTATTTTCTCAGTGCCCTCTTAATCACAGCATCACTGAAAACTGATCATTGAAAATATCATCTCCCACAGCCTGGCAAAAATTTGCATGTGAAAGGAGAGAGTCTCGGAGAGTCGTTTGAATGTATCACTACCAAAATTCCAAAAATCTGTCAATTGAGCCCTTGTATACACTTGACAAAAGTGAAATTTTGTCACATTCACAAATCAAGGTTGTGTTGAGTTACAAATTTTTGGATTAAATTATCCTGTCACTATTCCATTTCACGATACAAACTGGATTGTTTTATAAGGATATCCAGGCCTGAGAAAAGCCATAAATGCATACATGTTAAGTTGTGAGACAAGATTCGGCCCAAAACAAAGATGTCACCAATCAAATCTGACACTTAGCTAAAAGTATCAATGTACAGATTAATCAAGGTGTTTAGGACTGATTTCCATGAAGGAAAACCACATTAACCCTTTAACTCCCATGAGTGACCAAGACAGAATTTCTCCTTACAAGATTGATACAAAATCAAGGAGACAAGTAAGGAGAATAGACCAAACTTTCAATTAGGGGATGATAAGTCGATCCAATTCCCAATTCTCCTAAGGAACACCAAAAGAGTCGCATGGCAGACAGTAGCGTGGATTTCTAATGAGATCCTGGGAGTGAAAGGGTTATGAACTTGGTCAATCAACACCTTGATGTCTCCATACCGCCTGACATTGAAAGAAGAAAGTTATAAATCTGAACGGATCATTTTCTTTCGATTTTCCGTAACCTACCTTCCTGAACCTGCGGCAAATTCTTTTTTTTTTCAATCAAACATGAAAAGACACTATCATTGACTTGGAGGTAATTTTAATATTAATTTTCCGTATAAAAAAGGGGAAAATGGAGAGGATTTATTGTGAAATGATCAAGTCAGAGTTTCAAGGCACCTTGCAGCCAGAGTTATAACCTGATTTGCAAGCTGGTTCAGCTGATCGACACTTCGTCGTTACGAAAGATGTGTAACTCCATTACTGACCAGAGGTGGTGGTATACACCACTGCCGACCATAAGGAATAGACAAACTTACCTAGCATCATCCAGGCTTTGGTAATTTCTACTGCAATGAATTTCATTGCATTCTTTTCACGATAGCAGTGTGTTTGTTTTCGAACATGCGAGTGGACTGGACACAAGACACTCAAATAAAGGTACGCAATACATACAAAACAATAACATTTCAGCATCAAAACTCTTAGACGGCATCTAATGTCTACTCACAGTAATACTACTGGATCATTCATTTAGGCCATGGGAATAAAGGGGAATGACCCTCAACTTGGGAATCTTTGATTGCTAAAACAAATTGTCCTTGTCAGAACCGAATAAAACGTTTATCGAACAGTACGGAGAATATGCATACTGATGTTGGGGTGTAAACAGTTAAGAGTTAAGTTACTAAGTCCATAAACTTTCAGAAGTAAGTTTTTTGTTTCAAAAGGAAGTTAAGCGTAAGTAAAAATATATATCCCGTTTTTCTTAATCCCTTCATGCTGAGGAACCACTAACCACTTCCGTAATATTTGAAGAACCCATGGAGTTTCAAAGGTAAACTTCTCTGATTTTCTCGTTTTTCATAGCTTGGTTGAACGAGTGTGCCCTGTGGAGATACTCCTCCCTCCGAAATACTGTTTTTTTTTGTTCAAAGAATGATGTAGAAATAACTGAGAGAGAGAAGGGATTGTTTTAACTCTGCTCATTCTTTAACAAGATTTTCGACATCTCAGTTAGTATTTTGACTCGCAGTCTGCGTCTAATCAGGTAAATGTATATTTACGTTGTCAGAGTTCAGTCTATGACGATCAGAGTAAAAAATATACGTCATTAGACAATCAAGTAAGATATTGAAGTTGTAAGAAGTGCGTGAGAACCTGCCTTAAAACAAAACAAAACAAAATTCAGAAATTCACAAAAAACACCACGTAATGGCTCTTGAAAACACTTATTTCAATCACGAATCACTAACTTAAATAATCTACAGTCACTATATTGCACGTAATTTTGCCTCGTCAAATGACGAATAGAAAGCCACCCATGATAACGATTCACTCCTATGCACCCCTGTGTTTTTCAAAAGGGAGACTATGGAAAATTGACTGTCAATTAACAGCCAATGAGGAGAGTGTATAAGAATATGAAAAAGCCTTACAGGGGAATCAGGTAAACTTTTTATTGTGACACAACAAAAATCCTCCATTCTCCACAGGCAATTAATAACAACCATCAACCACTTTACAAATTATCATACCTACTGAACAGTGAACTACGGTTCCCAGACGGTGTAAAACGTTGCCAAATCGTCTTTGTAAGGTGTATTTTTTGTCCTGTTCGATTATGTGATATGTGATTATGTGCCATCCCCCCCTTCCCCCACCCCCACGTCGAGAGCTTACAGCCCCGAAAAAATAAAAACTCTAGCACTGACTGTGAATATATGAAAATCATATATGTGAATTGCGGTTAAAGAAACGAATATGGAAGCGATCTTCGCAGTCACGAACACTACTTAAGCAGTAGTGAAAATAAGGCCTGAAAAAAATTAAGGCCTGTACAGAATTTGAACCCATGACCTCTGCGATACCGGTGCAGCGCTAACAAGCCAACTGAGAGCTGGTCATTATGTTGATCCCAAATAAACCCGTGAATAATCATAGGTTCAAGCCGATCGTTGACCAATTGAATCAGAGCATAACTGAGTTGATAATTTAGATGAGCCACCGTAAAGAGTTTTCTAAAGCGAATGACGAAGGGCTAACGCTCAAAACGTCAGCTTTAGGAACTCTTTACAATGGATAATTCACATTACCAACTGAGTTGATGAAACCAAATTATCTTGTACCACACTGGTACACCTGTGGTGCTGGGTCGGTGGGAGAGTATAACACATAACGTTCATTTGCACTGACGAAGGGCTAACGCTCGAAACGTCAACTTTGAAACTCTTTACGATGGCCAGTTTACATTATCAACTCAGCTTATAACACCAAATTATCCTAGTATCTTGTGCTACCCTTACCGACGCAGCATCAAAATTTCTTTAGAAACTTACCCCCCTATATTCCATTGAACGAAACTGTTTTTGGAGTTCATTGCAGCTTTTTCAGTGGATTTTGGGAGGTTTAGAGCCTTCATCTCTTTCTTGCAAGGTACCGCTTGGGTAAATAGTTAGTTTCACTAATGTAATGCTAAATTATAGTTAAGAGAGTCACTGAAGAATGTGATAACTGCAGAGGTTTAAAATAAAGTCGCCCGAAACCTGAATCATGTTGCCCGAAACTTCAGTCATGTCGCCCGAAAAAAAGAGTCAAGTCGCCCGAAGAAACAAATATTAAAAAAGATCTGAATTTCAGACTGCTAATAGGCAATAACGTTGATAAATTTTTATCACTAAAGCGCTTTGTTTCCGGCAACACCATGAAGATTCTTAAAGCGTTGTTCGTTCCTAACAACAAAGGGAAACGTTGTTCGTTTCCAACAACAAAATGCAGTGTTGTTCGTTTGGTATGTAATCGTTTCTTACTCACGGACGTTTCGTACGCTTGAGAAACTTTTTCTTGGTTTCTAACAATACCATGAAGACTTTGACTACACAGAAATCGATCGTATGCTCGGAATTGAAATATGTTTGAGTAACGATCCTAAAAGCGTTGTTCGTTTCTAACAACAAAGGGAAGCGTTCAAAATGTACTCTCGCGGGCTGCCGACGCTTGAGTCTGTTGCCATGGATATGATTCCCCTGAGGGCGGATACTGCGGAATCTGTTCTTCTGTAGGGTACGCTGGCGGTAGATCTACCAAATTTGGGCCTTCTGAGGGTGGAAGATTTGGGGCTGTCGGCACCGGAGTATAACCAACTGGTCGGGGTCTGGGAGAGTTTGCTGATGGGGCAACAGGAACGCGAGGGGTAGAGGGAGGAGAGTGCTCGGTCACTCCCGCGAGTTCAGTTGCAGAATCTGACCTTGCGACTGTTGACATATGAACTGTACCTCTGGCGGCTTCATTGCGAGGCTTTTTTTTTCGCTTTAAACGTTGCACGAGTAAGCAGGCAACCACCATGAGAAGAATCACACTGAGAACGACGACCGCGATGGTCAAATGCAACTGTACAGTGTTATCTGCAAATAGAGAAGAAAACATCAATTAGCCTTTGAGCTCGTCATTCGCTCTGCGAAAGGGCTACCGCTCGAAACGGCAGCTTTAACAACCATCTAGAGTGGCCGGTATGCATTATCAACTCAGTTGATAGAACCAAATTATCTTGTGAGCTATAAACTTTAGATGAGACATACACTCTATCACAAAATAGTGATCGAGATACATTATACACCACTACTAAACATATTCCTTGAAGCAAGGAACCGGGTGAGTCAAGAGGTAAAACTAACATGATGAAGTGAAATTTTCAAGTTAGTCAAACCCACAATTGACAATTTTTGCAGACATTTATACCACTTACGGCGTGGCAAATACCCTCCACTATAAATATAAATGCATTTTTTCAAATCGGTTTAGAGCAACGTGCAGCTCAATTAAACCACTGAATAAAGTGAGCTCTCGATATTTTGGTTTTGTTACAAATTTGCAGCATAGTTTAAGACTTAGTGCCTTTGATTTCATCTTAAATAGAAAGGTACGATATCCTCACAAGCTGAAGGAAACCAAAATTACCCTAAGATATGAATCATAACTTTGAGAACTGTAAGCCTCAAGCGCAGGATAACGTACGTGATCTGGTCAGGATTTTAACTTGATTGACTGAGAGGATAAAGTGACGTTTCTTGAGCAATCAAAAGCGTAGTGAAACAAACCAGTGAAAACCTAGATTATTTTCGACAGTAAAATGATCAACGGGCCACAGTTGTTGGCAAATTGGATAACGCTATCCACTGAGTTAATCTCCATCCAGAGGTTAGCGCAAGAAGTTTTGTTATCATATATCTAGGGGATGGCGTGTTATCCAGTATTAAATAGCATTATCCACGCTGCAAACATCTGGGCCTTTAATTATATGTAATGAAAATAAACAAAATGCAATCCAATCTATGTGATCCACATCGATCAGCAGTAATGAAAACTACAATGCTATCCAATAATAAAATTCGCATTCCAAACTCACTCTTTTTCTCGACAGCTGTGAACGCAGCTTTAAATCCAGTGTAAAATGGTCCAGATCCGTCGGATCTAAAAACCACTCTCATATGTCGACCACTCGACCGAATAATAGGTGGAATTGTCCGATCACAAAATTTTCCTTTGCTTTCGCTGTCAAGATCTTTGCCATCCAGAACCTCTACATAATCCCTTAAATCCTCACCATTGCAACCACCTAAGCCCAAGTCGAATCTCTCAAAACTGAGTTTCACAATGCTATCATCTGGCACAGTGATTAGCCAATCACAATTCATATTGAGTGGATAGTACTTCAGAGGACTTTGCAGCGTTCCTTCTAATCCAGTCAGTTTCAGATTTACATTTTTGGTGTTTCCAGGTAAGCACTGCTCCTCGCTGACAACTAAGAGCGAGAAGAAAAAATCAAAATCAACTGTATTACCACTTTTTGTAAGTATGGGGCTTCGCTGCGTGTGTTTCCCGCGCTGCGAGCTTCGCTATGAAATGAAAATTCAGTATTTCCTACATGGGACAGCTATTGTAAATCTTTTGCGCGATCTATCCTATAAACTGATTTAAAACAAAGCTTTCTAAGATACACAGATAAACTTCAATGATGCTAGAGTAAAGCCAGAAGATGCTAGGTTTGTTAATTGGATAAAGTAAAAATGAATTCAACAAATATTTAAAAAAACGCGCATGTCATAACTGTATCAATTTTTAAGAAAAGAAAATTTCCCAAAGGTCCCTCATTTGTACGATCCTAAAAAATGTACTTCATTTTTCTGACAAACAAACAAAAAAACAAACAGAGCTAGGTATCATGATCATAGAACAATTTTCGATTGAGTGAGTGTCGAAAGAAATCCGATATTGCTTTGGGTTTGCTCTACTTAGGTCATGAATTGCTCCAGAAAACTCGAGCCATCTTCTTACTAACCAAACAGCCTGCAAACGAAAACCAATCGCGTGTTACCGCGCTTTTAGTAGTTTGCTTGTTTTTTCGTTTAGTCCTCATTGGCACGATGACGCAAACATTTGTTATGATTGACAGTTGACTCAGATCACTTCGGTAAGTAAATTGAAAACTGCCATAAAAGACAAAAGCTAACTTACTGGGGTCTACAGCTTCAAAAGGAGCTTTGATACCACGACTCGTCTTGCCATCAGAAATGGAACGAAACTTAACCCACAAGTAGCGCCCAGTGGAATAGACATCAAAAGGCATCTTGTAGCCACAATAAATGCCAAGTAGTTTGCTGTCAGGCCATGGACCATCCCGTATCTCCACAAGATCTGCACCCATGGATTCATCATAACCACAATATTCACCATCAGCATGCGGCTCTTCAAGGAAATAAGGGGTTTGGGGGAGACTGAATTTCTCAAACATCAATTTAACTCTTTTCCCAACTGGAGCAGTGATTGTCCAAATACAGGTGGTGTCATCTGGGTATGGGATCGGAAATTGTGGTGTATATAATGTACCAGATGAACCATAAGGCTTCCTGATCTGACCTTTGGATGGGTTGCACAATCCTAACCCCTCCTCTGGTTAAAGAGAAAAATAAATAAATAAATAAATAAACAAATAATAAAATGGGTTTAATAAAATAAGAAGGCAAGAAAATGAATTTATAAATATCAAAAATGAACGTGTGATTGCAGCAATCATGAAACATTTTTCAAGTCATGAATAACAGCTATTGATCCTTTAAACCTTAAGAGTGACTCACATCTTATTTCTTCCTACAAGATCACCCTGGAGTCACACATTATTAGGTCACGAGAATAAAGGAAAGATTACCAACTAAGAAGCTCTTGATTGTTAAACAAGTTCTCCTTGTCAGCAACTTAGGAAACCTGTAGAGAACATGCAGTATGGAGAATATGCATACTGATGGAGCTTGATGGGAGCCTGACCCCTCCCTACCATTTTCAAACCAAAACTGTCAGGCAAACCTGAGTGCTATATGTTACTATTGCTGTCAAACATTTGTTTATCATACAGACTGCAGCACCCATCATTTACCCATACTACCCCCCTAGGGTTATTATCACAAAGGCCTCATTTGGGGTCCTTTCACAGCAAGAGATGACAGATAAATACATCACAGACAGCAATAGACATCAGACAAGAAACACAAAGTGCTTGTTTCTATTTGCCATGCAGTTACAGTATTCCAGTACACTCCAAGTCAAAGCCTTTACCCATGCTATTTTTCTCAGTAGTAATACTGTTAAATCATTCATCATGATCAAAGAGATGAAGGAAATCTGATGATTGTCAAACTAAGAATCTTTGTTTGTTTAACAAGTTCTCCTTGTCAGCACCAAAAGAAATATAAGGAGAAGACTATCAAGAGAATATGGATACTGATCTTAAGGTGTTAATTAATCGTTAAAATGTACTTAGTTACTTTTGAGGGTACCTGCTTTTACTGCAGAAACAGTGACCTCGAATCCCTTGTATGTATTAAAGCTATCACTCTGGAACTCAATGTACATTCCATTTTCAGTTGAATAAATAACCTCAGGGTAAATGGTATCACAGTATTTTCCAATAACATCACCACCAGATGAGTCACCATCCGAAAATGTCAGACTATCAAATGGGCAGTCTCCTGATCCAGTGTTATATTGTAGATCAAATTCATTGATGGTTGCTTTTATAAGAAGGCCAGCATCTGAAGTACTTACTCGCCAAATGCATTTCTTATCATTGTCATAGTCAAGAGGAAAGTTGGGACTTGTTATAATTGCTTTCACAGATTCTGAAACTGTAACTCCAGTACCATACCATCCATCACAGGCTATCATGATTAAAAAAAACAAAAAAACAAAACAAAACAAAACAAAATTGATCATGTAAATCAGTTTCAAAAAATATACTATGCAAGCCTAGGGTAATATTATAAACAAAAATTCACCAAATTAAGTGGTGGCTGTTTGCCACCAACACTGAGGTGAAAAGTTGTATTATTATATACTAAAATAGTAAGTTAGTATAACACAAAAAGATGATTTTTACTCATTTCTTTCAGTAACAACTGAATTACAATATTTTCAGGCCCAAATCCCACACATGTTGTACCAAAGTGAACAGCAAAGGTTATTTTGAGTTTGATTAGCCAATCAAAGTGTGCCTTCAAAGCTACCCACTGTGTGAGTATTTAACATACTAAATACTCATACTATTACAATTGGCCAGTAGACTAATAATTCAACCTAAGTACCCTTTAATTCACTGAAGTGATTTATAAAAATAAAACTGCTTCCTGACAAATAGCGGCATGAAAAGTAGCCTTCACCTGGTACAAAAATATGCTCCAAAATATCTCATTGCAGTATAAAAATTGATGGATATATAGAGGGGATACACCTGGGTATTTACCAATTTTAGCTGGGGCATAATGAGTCATTACTGAGGCCTTTGAATCAATTCTATATCAGCAAAAATATATAATTATGGGTATGATAATGGTTCGTTATCCAACAAAGAGAGAGATAAAAGGAGACAACCTTTTCAGCCAAAATGTGATTGTCTGGTATTAAACATCAAATTCTTTGAACTTACAAAAAAGTGCATAACAACATCATGCACTACCAGGGAAAGTTACTGATCAGATATTTGGAACAGTTTCACCTCATTACAATTAGAGAGGGGATCAGGGGATGATTGGATGGAAAAATGGTTAATTTTATTAAAAATGTTCCACATACAGAAGATAAACTCACCAGAATCCTGAGTAAATACACCATGCATGGATAAGAAAATCAACACTAGAGCTGTAGAACAGAAATTATTCAAAAAACAATGGTTAATTAGTTAGAAAAAAAATATATTCATTTGTTTATTGTCTGATGTATAATGTAACATTAACTGCAGTTTCACTCCAAAAAAACATCCATGCAGGCATCCACACCCACTTGTATTTCAATCAAAAGTGTTGACTGTTAACCAGTGATTAAAGTAAATCAACACTGGTAAATTTATCCAACACACTGCTATCATTTAGTTAACAAACACAAAAATATGTGAGTAGGATTATAGCCTAAGAGAGCAAGCCCTCATCATTACTGCTGTGTGACTTGGGTTTCTCCTTTTGCAGGAAGATTAGGCACAAGTTGAAAAGAGGTTTTCCAGGGTTCAGGCAATTCATCTCAACCCATTGTAAACCTTGTACTGGCGCTTGTTGTTCAAGGCTGTTATTACACATTCCACAAGCAATGTAGTGCCAAAGTGCTGATTATGAGGGACTAATAATTATTTGCAAGCTAGTAGAACAACATCAAAATGCTCCACGCAAATTAAATGCTCTAGGAATTAAACTAAAATGCTCCCAGCAAGACTTTAACGGTGCTGTGATCCTAAAGTTTTGTTATATAGGCTGGAATACTAAAAGCCTAATTTTTAATTTATTTGTGTAGGACAACATTTCTTTTTTAAATCATTTGTTAAGAGAGAGGTTTTAATATGTTCCAATCCATGATTCGGAAAAAAATATCATAATTGCTATGTAACCATCATGATAGCAGCTCTGAAACTCCTTTTAGTTCTAATAATTATGTTCACAGTACTTTAACCCTTTAACTCTCAAGATCTCATTAGTAATTCTCCTTACTGTCTGCCATATAGTTCTTGTGATGTTAGTTTTGAGAATTTGGTATTGGATCAACTTATATTCCCTTAATTTATATTTTTCTTTATTCTTATCACTTGTCTGCTTGATATTGTATTGATATTGTAAGGAGAAATTCAGTCTTGGTCACTCATGGGAGTTAAAGGGTTAACTGACCCTGATGCAGAAGAGGATGTTGGAAGCCAGTACCTTGACCTAACCCTTTAACCCTTGAGGGTGACCATGAGCACCTAATTTTTCACCAGAGTAGTTATTATTATCAATTGAGCCAATTGATAACATAAATTGGCCACTATAAAGAGTTTAAAAGCTGAGTTTAAAAACTTTTGGCTTCTAAACTCTTACAGTGGCCAATTTACCAAATCAAGTCAATTGATAATACTTAATTATCCTATTATTCTCTCCCACCGAAACAGCACCACAGTTTCTTTAGAAATTTACGCCCCTTAATTTCTTACCAGTTATTAGGTATTCACTCCAGAATCAAAAATCAATTATAGGCTTGTAAGAATTGAGGATATCATGGTACACTTGAAATTAACGTTCTTATTATTTCTTCCAGAGTTCTTCTTGTATTTGCCGTAGGAAATGTATAAAGAAAAGTGCAGAGAATTAAAAAATGCAGATCTTAGGGTCTAAAGGGTTAGATGATGGTAATTAAAAGCAATTAATTCACCTGAGGACTGTATTAGATGAAAATCAATAAATAAATTTATCAAAGAGTCATTGATAGAAAACAAAATGCAAATAATTTTAAATAACAGTCAGTGAATAAGCTATGAAACACTGGTTGTAGAATCTCTTTTTGCGAGAAAAGATTATTTCTCAGGAAAATAATTTAAGGCTTGGCTTCTCCGCCCCTGCTTCCCTGCTACAATTATAGCCTCAGGCTTTAAATGGTCTGCTCTGATCGTTTGAAACAATTTAATAAGGAGCTTCTGCATGTTGCACATCTGACAGTATCGAATGGCCAACTATCAAATATCTTTCAGTGTTTCAATCCAACGCCAGATTTCACCTTTACGAAACCTGTTACAAAATTGATACGTTTTTTTTTTTTTCTTAATATAATTGTATATGCTTGCAACTGATCGGCAGGTAACGAAAATTCACAATTGACAGCCAATTTGCAGTCTACTAAACACCCTGTGTTGGATTTCACAGTAATATTTTAAAATAAATTTCACTTCGGTTTCCAATGGTAGGTTAGTTTTCAACCACTGCACGGAAGACTGTTGTACCCATGCTAACACAAACTATCAGCTGTCAACCGAATTCAGCGTGGTGCTGAAAAGCATACCCGGAGTCACGAAGTATTAACACATGCACTGAACACATAACAGACGAATGAAGTACTTTGTAACATGCTAAGAGACAAGATAGAAAACTTACCCAAAAAGTGGCTGGCCGCCCTTACCAAAAAAGATAGCCTTGAAGTATACTTTAAGTATACTACAAGTATACTGCGTCAATAGTGGTTATACTGCAATCATACTTCAATAATACTTCAATGGTACTGCACTTACTTAAGTACATCTGCAGTACCATTTTTGAAGTACACTTTAAGTATACTGCTCAAGTGAAAATCGTTTTCTTTGTTGTTGATGTAGGGTACAAGTATACTTTATGTATACTGCTCGAGTGAAAATCATTTTCTTTGTTGTTGATGTAGGGTACAAGTACACTTTAAGTATACTGCTCAAATGAAAATCATTTTCTTTGTTGTTGATGTAGGGTACAAGTATACTTTAAATGTTTGACACAAATGTAAATCAAGTTCAGGTCTGATTAAGTGGGAAATAACTCTACTGAAAAAGTACTGATGCTTCAGTTGATAAAGATCATAATTACTTTAATGTCTCACACAAATGAGAGTAGTAGGAAATAACTATACTAAAAAGGTACTAATTAGGCTTCAGTCGATAAGATCATATACATTTACACAATCAGATTGGCTGGTTTACAGGTATACTGTACTGTTAGATCCAAGTGTAACATTTTTTTTGATTATTCGTTCTTGCCTAATTTGTTTTTCCTTTGCGTACGCAAATTAGTTTATACTTCTTTTCGTCCATTTGTTTAGTCTTCTTTTTTGGCGTTAATTTAGGTGTTTATCTCATTCTGTCAGTTTTCGTGCCCTCGTTAGCGTTTCCGTGCTGTTTCATCTTCATTAGCGCCTTTCTATAGTTTTATTTTCCGCATGTTCTAGCGTATTTTGATATCGTAGTTTGTCAGTACAGTTTGTGAGAGCAGTTCCCTTGCGAACTGAATTCCCAGTTTTCTGGGAATTCTCAAAAATTCCCAATTATGCAAATGACCCTTGCAAACCGAATTCCCAGTTTTCTGGGAATTTCTGGGAATTCCTGGGAATTCCTAGGAATTCTCAAAAATTCCCAACTATGCAAATTAACTCTGATTTAAAAAGCTTGGAATTACTGGGAATTTCTGGGAAAGGAAGACTCCAGTTTTGTGAGGACTTGGAATCCCTAGGAATTCCTAGGAATTCTCAGCTTTACAAACTACCTATAATTTAAGAAGTGTGGAACTCTTGGGAATTCCTGGGAATTGAATTTGAGGCAATTTTAATACCCTGAGGTCCACATAAATTCTAAGAAATTCTCAATACCTTGAATGTGAAGGTTTTAAGAAAAAGAGTAATTTCAGAGGCTTAAAACTTTGGCTCAATAAAAGGTATGCTATACAAAACTTACCAAGAGATATACATATATGTACATGTTTATAACTTAAAGATCATGAAATTTATTACTCAAACTAAGTTTTAGTAAATCTTTAAATTAATATGGATTTTCTCATGAACCAGCTGTCAGTTATGTTAAATGGAAATTGCCAATTTTTACAATAATTAACAATAATTACATTGTTATCTTACTTCCCTAACCTACATTACTGGTTGTCTTTGTTAGAAAACCTTGGAACAGTCAAGCTCAGTTGCCTCAAACGCTGTCAGAGACCTTTAGTTGACAATACTTTTAGTAGAAATTTCATGCCTTAGACAAACAAATTCAACACCTAATTAATCTTTCTTTTTTCATGATTGTTGTTCCTGCTTTTTTTCAGTTTTATGCTCTATTTTCATGACTAATTGCTGTAATTTGTTTTGCTGTTTTTATTCTTACAAAACATTTTTGTAAGAGTTCCAATACTTGTGGATCATCCACACACTTTGCAAACATTTGGCATGCAGACAAGACAGAGGTAGTCAATGTACCCTTTGAGGAAAAACACCTTTTATATGACGTCTTCAATTTACTTTATTTGAAACTCTGATCTGAAAATATTTGTCAACAAGACTTGTTAGTAGTGAGAAGTACCAACCAAGTTTCCTTTCATAACTTAATTTCTTAAATGTCCCAATCACTGGATCTCCCAAAAAAATATTACATCTTTTTATTTTTGGTGCAAATTACAAGTCCTTCTTTATATAAAAATGAAAAGTGCTAGTCACACTTCAATAATAACAGCTCTTAAGTTTACTTGTTGTTCTTCTGTCTGTCAGCTATCAACAAAATTGTTTTATACTTCGGGCAGCGCATAACTATTTGTGGACCAGAGTTCCAACGCACCTCGGTAATCGCATATAGCTACTCCTGTCTCTTGCACAAATGTTTCTCCTTTGTAAGACGCACTCTACTCTGTTGTCAATACTGCTTTAAGTTCAGTGGAAACGACTGACTGAGGAATCGAGATGGCGGTGTTGGAACGTGTTGCTGAACGCTTGCTACGGTCAAGCTTTGTAGATTTAGGTACTGGTACACTGGGATCATCTATGTATCTCTTACACTTCCGAATGTGGTATCCTTCTTTTATAAATATGAGGGTAAAAGACGATTTGTAGTCGCATTCAAAACTGTGATTGGCTTGTGTTATTTCTCACCTTTGCCATGAATACAACTCAAGTGAGTTTCGAGTCTTTTTTCCTCGACAACTTTCGGCCACAAATCGTGCATTTGTAATACGATCGATTCTTTTCGATTATTTCTACATAGAGTGAGCTCACATCTTTATTTATATCACCAAGCTGTCCATCTTCTAGAAGCAGAGGACCGGTCGGAGAAGTCAGAATAAAGTTGGGCGCTTCTCTTAACACTGCAATCGGCAAGCCAGCGGATTCACTTTGCTAGCCAATGACAAGTCCTAAAAGATCCACGTGATCATGCCCGTGATCGGAAACAAAGAAGACTCCATTTGGCGCTCATCTTTGAATGTAGTTTTCATCGGTTGATCGCTTTTCTCAACTGTTTTGCTTAATATAACATTTCTAAAGATAGCTTTTATTGTGGTTCAATGGGAAAACGAGAATAGCGTGAGTGTTGTAAAAGAGAAGAAAGTCGTTGGCGCCGTGGAGTTAAAAGAAGGGACAACAGTTGACATATGGACCGGTACAAACAAGGGTCGAGTGGCCATCTGTAAAGCTACGATTTTGAAAGTTTGTGGTGAGTAAAAATTGCGATATTCGTTGTGATCAAAATCTTATAAAAGAACAGATGTAGCGGGTTGAATTAAGCTTACATAACGCTCGGCGCAACTGAAACTAGAATAATTCTGAGAATCGAATCGGTCACTTGCATGCCGCAGTTTCTTAAGCTTATGCTTTACAATGAAATAAACCTATCAGTAAGGTTTCAAGATTTCTCCAGTCACGTTTGGGAACATTCAAGATTCATAACAAACCTTAGTACATAAAGAAGCCCTCCTTGGTAAAAACAAAATAATGTATTCAGCCCTTTTTTAGTAAAATCCATGAGAGAGATGTACTAACTCCAATATAAAAGTCACTCAATATAACAGAGATTTCTCAATTTGAGAATCCAATGAATGCCCTTTTCCTCATAGCCATCTTAAAAGCCTGGTCTGAGCTTTAAACATACATATTTTAATATATTATTTTTTTTCAAATTCAGATGTCAAGGAATCCAGATACAAAATGGTCAAGGTTCTTGTTGACAACCTCATTCAAGGCCAACTCATTGTGAGTCCAGGAAAAAAATACAAACAGTACAAACAGCAGCTAAGTTTGCAGTTTAGGATAACTTCATTCTAATTTATTGTTACAGTTACAACAAGATTTTAATCAAAAAATCAATTTTATTTGTCTGTAATTAGCCCCTTCACTCCCAAGAATATAACTATATAAATATAACTTAAGATATTGTATTTTATGGAAAAGAATCAACAGATTTTATTCACAATTTGTGTCAAACCAAATTTAATGATTGATTAGAACTATTTTATATGAGTAGCTGTAATTGAGGATTAATCCGTATGAAGTTTTCAAGAAAAGAAAAATAAATCAAATTCCATCCTAATATTACCACACATTGATGTTAATAATTAATCAAAAATATTTTACACGTAAGCCTTAATTAAGCTTCTAAATAAATTTCATTGAATACTTGAATTTAGCTGGGTTTTTTTTAATTTAAAGTATTTATTTTATATCATTAGCCTCACATTTTTGCTTAAAATTCCCAGTAATTCTTAAACATTCCTAAAAATTCCCAAAAATTCCCAGAAATTCCCAGAAATTCCCAGAAATTCCTAGGAATTTTTAGATTTACAGCTTTTCAGGGAAAGTCATTGGTTCTCTGAGTTGGAATTCCTAGGAATTCCTAGGAATTCCCAGGAATTCCAAGTCCTGTTGGCTATAAACTTGGAATTTCTGGGAATTTCTAGGTTTTTAGAACCAGAGTTGTTATGGTTGGGAATTCCTATGAATTCCTAGGAATTTCCAGTCCGAATTTACCGTGAAAATTCACACCTTTATTCCTAGGAATTCCTAGGAATTCCTAGGATTTTCCTAGGAATTCCTAGGAATTCCAAAAGCCATTTCGCAAGGGTTTGGTCCGCGCTTAGCGCAGTTCTGTTTAGTTTGTTTCTAGCCTCTTCGCGTTATTCGCAGTCCTCTTTACAGAAGTTTTCTCTGGCCAAAACAATTTTCAATCCACACTCTTAGTACCAAGCACGTCGGCTCCAATAAATCTTTTTCTTTTCATTTGGTTTGTGGTGTTATTATTCAAGGCCAGGAGTCTTGCAGGTTTATTGCAGTTTCATGTACTACAAACCAGAAAAAGCCTGCACAGCAAAGTTATCTTCTCAGAAGAATTATATTACACTGTATATTAGCTTTCAACTTTGAAAATACAATCCACACACACAGGTTTGCATGGCGCATTAACATACATATTCTTTGAAGTCATTGTAACTGCAAAGCTTGACACTAACAGAAGCCAACAAGCCACAGACTGGTAAAAATTCAGTTTTGGCTAGTGGTTTTCAATCATTTTCCACTAGACACTGGCTAGTGGGAAAGAATCTGACCGGAGCAAATGCCAGAGAGGGCTTAAATGCTGACATTGTTTCCTCAATTTTGGGTAAGTACATTGCATTTGGTGTTTTTGTCATTTTATTACTATTGGGAATTTGTACACTTGTACATGTTGATCAACATGACTTTCTCAGGGATCAGCCTTGTAAAAAAACTTTGGGACCATCCATATAAAAAAAGTGAGGAAAACAACTCCAAGCAAGTATTCAGAAGTTCCTTTGATCTAAGTGATCTCGGATTATTGATTGTGGTATGAGTCTTTCCAAAGTAACACAACCTTGTTGTCATGCATAAGTCTAAAAAGTTAAGCTCCTGTGTTTCTTTTTCTTTGCAGATTTTGTGGTATTTTCTATTATGATTTGCACAAGGCTTGCTTGCTTCTCTAATTATTAAATAACAAAGTCAATTTTTTGATTATTACATTTTACAACAACCATTTTTTATTGGCTTTAATCCCAACAAGAGACATTGTAAGTGACATTGCTGATTTTCATGAAATTTGTTTCTGTTTTACATGATTGAATGATGAAGTCCATTTTATAGATATTCTTCGTTTTAAAACAATGAATAGTTTTTGTTAAGTATCCCAACATTGTGAGAGTCATTTCTAATTTGCATGGAATTTATTGTTAAAATTTATGAAATAATCCAATGATGGATTTCATTGTAAAATATATATTTTTGCATCAAAAGACAATTTAGAAGCAGTCTTTTATTGTACAAATTTTAGGTTATTTGTCATGGTCAGTTGTACCAAATAAATTAAAGACATGAATTTCATACTTTTGCTTGAATGCTTATCTGACTTGGCCAAGTATATAATACAGCTGAACATATGCCGTATGAACTAGTGGTTGCATGCCTGTTCGTGCATATTAATTTACCTGGCTGCAGGTATGTATGCCATTCATTTATAATATCTTGAATACACTCTAAGTATACTTAAAGTATACTTTAAGTATACTGTACTTGTCAGTTTGCCACTAGTGGTTTTACTCAGGAAGTATACTTGAAGTGCACTGCAAAATTTTCAGTACCTTTCAAGTATACTTCAAGTATACTTTTGGGTGTTCCAATTTCAGGTGGGAACAAGTATACTACAAGTATACTTTTAGTAGCTCTGTAAACTATACTTCAAGTCTACTGAAAGTATACTTTGTGTAACTTATTTGCAGTACACTTTGATTACAGAAATAGTATACTAAAAGTGTACTTAATTTTGGTAAGGGCGTGACGGCTTCCATACCCATAAATTTGATTATTTCGAGAGAATCAGCACCTCACCTGCCCTGTTCACACCGATCATATGTAAGGATTCTAAAGGAACTGGGAACGAAAGAATTGGCCCGCAATGCATAATTATAAGCTTGGCTAAATCTACATATCATTGAAGATAATGAGCGCTTCAGTCAAAAACATCACATTTAACATTCTGTTCCTTTAACTTCGCAGGTGCTCCTACCGATTCATTGATTGTCGTATACGATTTTCATTAAAGCTTGACAGAGGATTGGCTACATTCTCTGCTCCAACAAGCCTTCATCACTCTGATCTCTCTCGTCATAAATACTATACCTCTGATAGACGCTGGAGACCCTTGTAATTTCTGATGCACGGGAGAATGGTCACAAATAAAATAATGCCTGAAAGTTACTCGAAATATTGAAAATTTTTCGCTATAAATTTCTCTACTATGCTAAATGCAATCCTTTATTTGGTATTCTAGCTCAAAGGAAACTTTGATAAGTATAGAATTTCTTGATACAGCAATTTTTTTGCATCTAAGAAGTAGGATATAGTAAAGGCCTAGTCGAAGAAAAGGCCGAATAACCCGTACGTATGATCAGTACAATATAATACCACGAATTTTAACCTTCCAAATTTTTCCCTCTGGTGAAACTGGATAACAACAATAAGGATGACGACGAGGGATCCTAAGTGGTAGATGAACAAAAAATTATGTTGAGAATTCAGCAATTTATTTATTTATTTGATGCTCCTTTCAAGGAAGCTGGCGCCCTTGACTGCTGTCTGGGAATTTGGAGCTACAGAACCGCGAAAAGAAACAGACAACGTAAAGAGGGGCCTGGGAGAAGACAGAGAGCAACTCTGTGAATCTTGGTTAAAATTTTCGTCAAACTTCGAAAATGCCGCCGTTACGCAAGCTAAGAAAAACGCTTATAAAATAATTCAAATAGTACGCGCGCTCTGATTGGCCATAAAACCATTTTACATGAGCGTATGTAAACACGGTTTTCATACTGAATCTTCTCGCGGTGTTCCTATCTCGTGTTCTCCCAACCTCCCGCGTGTTTACATCAGGCTATGTAAACACGGAAACCATTTTACATTTCTTCAATTATTCATCACGTTTACTCCTTTTCGAGTTACAACTCTCAATTAAGGGCTTCAGTTAATGGAGGCATTGCTTTAATTTCTGGTAAGTATTCGTGTAGTTTATTTTGATTAACCTTTTCAGTTATAACAATATGTGTTAATGCTATCGTCTATATTAATTTTATCTTACAAGTTATAAATTTCGAAAGACACAAAATCAGATGATATTGTACAATCCTGTCGTCATGCCGAGGAATGCAGGCTTTTGAACCAGCGGTTTTGTTCTTACCGCATTTTGACGTCAGCTGTAAGCTGTGAATGAACAGAAGCACGACAAATAGCATCTATTTGTTAACCCTTTGACCCCTGAGAGTGACTAACATCTAATATCTCCTCACAATATCACCCCTGAATCACACATTAAGGTCATGAGAATTAAGGAAGTGATCACCGACTAAAGACCCTCTCGATTGTTAAACGAATTCTCCTTGTCAGCACCTTAGGAAATATAAAGAGGACAGTATGGAGATTATACATATTAATATTAGGGTGTTAAGGGTTAAATATCATGGAAAGATGCTGACGTTCTGACTAAATATTTATACAGTATCTGTACAGTTTTAACTGTTTTTTAAATTTTAAAAAATTTAAATTCACGTGGAAATAGGGTACATCATCATACACTATTACACAACTTATGGACTGTAATAAAGTGTGTGATTGACGCTGCAAATTTTTTTTTTTTTTGCCCGGAACAGTTACAGTTTTCCTGTGAGAGGTTACGGTGGAGCTTCCTTTCTCCAGGGTTGGGTGTTGGTTTTGTATCAGATTATGGTACACTGAGGCAAGCCGATAATCATTTGACGGAGCTGGAGCAAAATCTACGGATGGTCTCTGAAGGGGAGTGTTAACCGAGCAATCCTGACTGTAAGGGAGGGGAGACTTTAGCAGTAACTTTTTACTATGAATTCTCGCATTGTCTTTTCGTTTTTGTTGCTCTTCCAGATACACAGCACTCAGACAATCATCACAGCAGCTAGAACAATTGTACCAACTGTGCAGGCGATAGCCTTGAACGTCGAGGAACCTAAAGACAGAAATCAGGAGAACAGGCATTTAGCTGAGCTCATTCCAAGAGAGACGTCGTCTACTTTTAATCTAATTTACAGCCCAGTAAGCCCAGTCATTATTTAATACCTAGGGAAGGGGGGCATCGACGGAGTTTGGGGAATCACATAGTTAAAATAGTTTTGAGGGATAATGGAAGGGGAATCAGTCGTCGCGAAGAGAGTATAAAGGGAAGGCTTAGGAAAATTGGCTGCCAATGAAGGGGGTATTTATAAGAATGCTACAGACCATAAAGGGGGGTGGGGTGGGGGGGAATGGACCGGTAAATTATAAGGCAACGCAACCGAAATCCTCCAATTCCCCTCCTCGGCACTGCTGAATAAAAATATCCAGCCCCGAAAGTCAGTTAAACGTACCTCTGGAAGTTTCTCTAAACGT